AGGCTTAAGTGCAAGGGTTTAAGGGTTTAAGAGTGGAGGAGTTGAGGGGTTTGAGAGTTCAGGGATTTAGGGGTTTAGGCGTTCAGGCATTTTCAGGGTTCAAGATTTTGGGGGTTTAGGGGTTTTAGGGTTTAGGGGTTGAGGGTTAGGGTTTAACGGGAGTTTAGGGAGCTTGGAGTTGAGGGTTTAGGGACCCACGACCGCCGGGAAGAGGTAGCAAGAAGGGTAGGACCCCCAATCTTATTCGCAGGTTTCGGGTTTATTGGTTTTTGGTTTAGGGTTAGGGTTTGGGCTTTAGGGTTTCGGGTTTATTGGTTTATTGGTTTAGGGTTTTGGGGTTTCGGGTTTTGGGCTTAGGGGGTTAGGATTTGGGGTTCAGAATTGGCTTAGACCTTCAACGAGATCTAAGACCAAACGCAATGATCTAAGAGCTTCCAAACAAATAGCTATACCACCCCAAAGTATAGTAGCAAACCCTAAACCCTAAACCCTAAACCCTAAACCCTAAACCCTAAACCCTAAACCCTAAACCCTAAACCCTAAACCCTAAACCCTAAACCCTAAACCCTAAACCCTAAACCCTAAACCCTAAACCCTACCCCTAAACCCTAAACCCTAAACCCTAAACCCTAAACCCTAAACCCTAAACCCTAAACCCTAAACCCTAAACCCTAAACCCTAAACCCTAAACCCTAAACCCTAAACCCTAAACCCTAAACCCTAAACCCTAAACCCTGAACGTGCGGGTCCTGCGCACGCCGGGCGCAGGAGCTTCAGCCAAGAGCTCGCGACCTGGGCCACGGACGAGCGCGGGGAGAAGCCAAGCCCCTTTGGGCGGAGATGTTGGTTTAGAGTTTAGGGTTTATTCAGGGTTTAGGGTTTAGGGTTTAGGTTTTATTGGTTTGGGGTTTCTTGGTTTAGGGTTTATTGGTTTAGGGTTTAATTAGGGTTTTGTGGTTTAGGGTTTATTGGTTCAGGGTTTAGGGTTTATTGGTTTAGGGTTTAGGGTTTAGGGCTTCAGGTTTAGGATTTGGGGTTCAGAAGCTCCGAGTCGAGCAGTCTGAAACTGAACCCCGCATCCTCCTCAAGAGCCATAATTCGACCCTGCGCACAAAACTCCCCGTAAATGCTACTCTACTAAACCCTACTAAACCCCACTAAACCCTACTAAACCCCACTAACCCTACTAAACCCTAAACCCTAAACCCTAAACCCTACTAAACCCCAAACCCTAAACCTTAAACCCCAAACCCCAAGCTCCCAGCAGCCGAGGCATCATCCCTGGCGAACCCCTGCCTCCGCCCTAAGGCGCCTTGCTCAAAGCTTCTGCTGGGGTTTAGGGTTTAGGGGCTAGGGTTTAGGGTTTAGGGTTTAGGGTTTCGGGTTTCGGGTTTCGGGTTTAGGGGTACTTGGAGGTTCAGGCTACTTTGTAACACAATTCTCAGTGTATAGTTATAAGTATAGCCCCCAAAAAAAGCCCGCAAGTACCCTAATCGGGTTATAATTGGGTTAGAAGTACAGTGAAAATTGGGTTACTAAGTACCATGAACCTCCAAGCACCCAAGATGAACCCGAAACCCCGAACACCCCAAACCCCCAAACGCACTCCCAATATAGGGGTCGGAATATCTTACTATTGGTATTCCCTCATGGTCCCTTTTTACGCATACTATATTAACCTTTCAAACCCTATTCTAATTATTAAGGCCCCTACATGACGCCCATTAACCCCCGACCCCTACGCCTTCAACCCCCAAACAACCCCAAAGAGTTCGCGGATTCGAGGCTTCTGGACCTTATACTCCGAGCCACCACCCCCCCCCCCCCCCCCCGGGCAAAGTCATGGCGCGTGCTGGGATTAGGGTCCAGGGTTGAGGGTTGCGGCGTGGGGGGTTTAGAGTTCAGGAAAATATGGGGTTTAAGACAGGGGAGGGGGGGAGGTTGGTGTTGGGTTGCCCAGGGTACGCTCACCTCGACAGAGCCCTAAATCCTTTCCTTGCGCACTATCTCTCTATGGCCCCAAAGCCCCAAAACCCCAGAACTCTAAATCCCTAACCCTAAACCCTAAACCCTAAACCCTAAACCCTAAACCCCCTATAAAACCCTAAGCCCTGAACACACACGAAGAGGCTGCCGTCCTTGAAGAGGACCTCAGGTCTCGAGCCCAGAGCTCCTGCTCGCTTCCACTTCCGCTTCCGCTGAGGATCACATGGCCCATCCTTGGGTTTTCGGGACTTTGGGGTTTAGGGAGTTAGGGTTTAGGGATTTAGGGTTTAGGGTTTAGGGATGCAGGGTTCAGGGTTTAGGGTTTAGGGTTTACGTAGGGTTTAGGGTTTAGAAGTTTCGGGTTTTAGGGATTTTCGGGTTTCGTGGTTTAGGGTAAGTTTAGGGTTTTGGGGCTTTGGGGTTTGGGGTACAGGATTTAGGGTTTACCGGGTTTTGGTGTTCGGGTAGAGCCGCTACAGGAGCCCTTCGATAGTGCATGATGGGCCATTGGATGCTGCATGCTCACCCTCTAGCGCACATCCAGGAGCAGCCTATTCCAGAAGGGTCCCTAAACTGGGTCTTGGAGTACTATACTGCAATCCTTTTTTTGGTTCTGGGCTCCTCTTATAGATATTTGTACCTGAAAGTATATACTCTTTCTCCAGGGTCTATCTACTCCGAAGTAGGGTTAAGGCCAGTCGGCAACCTGAAACATTCAAGTCTGAACCTGCTTGGAGGTTCATGGGGTGCTTATTCGTAGGGCTAGAAGTAGGGTACATATGGTTATAGTCTTCTTAAGGGTACTTGTAGTTATAACCATACTCGCAAGTACACATGAACCTTCAAGCATGCAGAGATCTATCACCTGCGTACGCACTGCCTTGGCAGCCGCACGGCCCTGGAAGTTTTGTTGGCTCAGGCTTCGGAAATGGTTTCGGTCTCAGGGTTTGCACGCTGCCCGAATACTTCCACAAAGACTCATGGCTGGAAGCAATACATGGATGTGTCGAGAGGCTGAGGCTGTACATTATGCCAAGTTGTGGCAAGGTTGGCTCTCAACAATCGTACCCGAAACCCTAAACCCTAAATCCTAAATCCTAGACCCTAAACCCTAAACCCTATTTAAACCCCGAACCAAAGAGAAGGGACACAATTTCGAGAACTGACCAACCGGGGCCAACCTTGGGAGTGCCCCGCATGCGGTTCAGTGTGTAGGATCCAGTCAGGGTTTAGGGTTCAGGGATTAGGGTTTAGGGTTAGGGTTTAGGGTTTGGGGTTTAGGGTTTAGGGTTTAGGGTTCAGGGTTCAGGGTTCAGGGTTCAGGGTTCAGGGTTAGGGTTTAGGCTTTAGGGCTTAGAGATAGGGGGGTCGAGGGTTTAGGGTTTAGAGTGATGGGTTTGGGAAGGGTTCAGGGTTCATGGTTTGCTTGACGGTCCATGGGAAGTTGCTTATAGGATTTTGAGAACTCCAGGCGTTGCTGCAGCTAGTTGTGGGTAGAGAGACCTGACGTCGAGCCCCTGAAACCCTAATCCCCTCAACCCTAAACCCTAAACCCTAAACCCTAAACCCTAAACCCCAGACCTGAGGTCATCCTCCAAAGTGTAAGACGGAACCTTTAGCAGAGACCGTGGCATGACTCCCGATGAACCTCCCAATATGGGGTTTAGGCCTGGGGGTTCGAGGGGCTTAGAGTTTCAAGATCAGGGTGGACCTAAGAACTCAACGCCTTCTTTTGTGTATCTATAGACCCTGAAAAGGATTCTTAGCTAAGCTGCAACAAAAAAAGGTAGGCTTTTGGGGTTTCTGAAGGTGTGGGGAGATGGCACGAGGCTGAATTCGAGGAAGAAAATGCCGCAGGGGCCGATTGGCTCCTGTAAAGCCCGGCCGGTGCAGTAGCCCTAAACCCTAAACCCTAAACCCTAAACCCTAAACCCTAAACCCTAAACCCTAAACCCTAACCCCTAAACCCTAAACCCTAAACCAAAAAAAGTGCCCTTGTTCGAATGGGGTTCCTACATCTAGAACATCTTCCAGTTGGGGCAGCTCACCCCTTGAATGGGTCTTCTATCTTGCTTACGACCCCTTAAAGCCTCTGTGCTATACTTCGAAGCTCTTCTGACGTAGCAAAGTCGACTTCGTATCCCCTTGAAACACGATTCTAATCCCCATACCCCACCTTACTAAGCCTACTTTACTAAGTCAAAAGGGCTTCTAAGTAGAGGTACCTGGGATGTGGGAAGTCGTTGCTCACTTCTGGAACCAACTGCTCCGGCTGAAGTGAAGCAGCTTCGAACAGGGGCTGGCTAGCCATTGGGTATATGGGGCTTCCCTCAAACCCTAAAAGGAACCCTCAAGACTGAACCCCTCAACCCCTTCTCTGCTAGATACCAGAAACCGTCATAGCATGCCCACACCCCAAACCCCTTCTTGGAGGTTCAGGGTACCTAGAACCCAAATATAGGTATGGTTATAACCTACTTGTAGGCCCCTTAAGTACCCGAATGGGGTTATGAAGAACTGTTATAATTGAGTTACTAAGTACCATGAACCTCCAGGTACACCCCGAAAGCCCCAAAGCAAGATTCCACGAGCGCCCTGGGGGGGAGGCCTTTCCCAACTCCAGCCCATTATGCGCAGATCTGCCGGACAGGCCAAAGTGGTTTGACCGCGGTGCAGTTGCCAAAAAACAAAAAGGGGGGAGGCTCGGCCGTGTAGGCAGGACAAAGAAACCTTGAAACCTAACCTTTCAGAGCTTCAGGGCCCCAAAAGTGTCTGCTCACGAAGCCTTGGCGTAGGGGGGGGGGGGAGTGTAAGTGGGTCGAAAAGTATGGGGTCGCCGCAGTTCGGGCTGCTTATGTATACCCCTAGACCTTGAACCCTGAACTCTAAACCCTATACCTATCAGGTTCTTGCGACCCCTCCAAAAAAAGGTAGGTTTTTTTTTTTGGCGAAGTTCTTGAGGTAAACCCTAAACCCCAAACCCGAAGCCAAGCAAGGAGCCCCAAAGCGAACAGGACACCCATCGAAGCGCCAGCTCGGAGCCGCGCCCGCCCCGCAAGCGGTGCCCGAGCATTGCACTTTCAGTCTCTGCCTCTGTCTCTCTCTCTCTCTCTCTTTTTTTTCTCTCTCTCTCTCTCTCACTCTCTCTCTTTCTCTTTCTCTTTCTCTTTTTGTTTTTTTTTCTCTCTCTCTCTCTCTCTGCATGAGGAGGTGTACGTAGGGTGTAGGGGTGGGGGGGGGGGGTTTAGGGTAGAGCTCGTACCCTGAAGCCTCATGAAGGGGCCATGAGCTTCAAACCCTTAGACCTAGACCCCTATACAACCCGGGGGTGCAGGAGAGGGGAGGGGTTTCGGGTTGGGGTTTCGGCGTTTCCCACCCCCCAAATCCCCAGAACCCCACCCTAAGCCCTATACGAAACAGGGTTTACATCGCTGGGATTGGTAGGCGTATATTTGGAGTGTCCTTTTGGGGATAGGTTCATTGCGGCCAAGGAGGGACAAGAATGCTTCAAAAAGGCACTTTGTCAGGGTTATGGAGCTTGCACATTCAAACGAAGCACGCCTTCCATATCCTAGCCTCTGATTGGACAATGGATTTCCGCTGTCATTTCTGTACAATCGACACAATTTCTTCTGCAAAGCTCCTGACATGAGTCAATGGTTTTGCTTCAAAGCTGTGCTGCTTGAGCACAGACTAAAAACATTGGCTCAATCTCCTCTATTCTTGCAAAGCTCGACCAGATTGGGAACTTCACGTTCTCGACTTTGGATGTTGTGTGCTTGCGAACCGTGATTAGTACAAACCTAAGCTGTTTCACTTTCATATGATTAACGACCTCGAGTCCACAGTACCAGAAATACAAACCCTACTTCACATACAGTACCCTACACCCTAAATCCCAATCCCCAAAACCCTAAACCCGAAATCCCAAGCATATACTTCACATACCCTACGTGTGCTCTAAATCCCAAGCCCCCAACCCTAAACCCTAAACTCTAAACGCCACGAGGTTCTCCCTGAATCGGGGGGTGCCCAGCATGTCCTGTACATTCGGCGCGGCGCCAGGCCTGGGTTTAGGGTTTAGGGTTTAGGGTTTAGGGTTTCGGGTTTAGAGGTGTACCCTAAGGTTTAAGGGCTCTGATTTTCGGCTTTTGGGGGGCCACAGGCCCTTTTCAGCCTAAAAAGGTAAGGTTGGGGCTTCAGGGGGCGTGTCGGGGTTTGGGGGGTCAGGGCCGAAGTAGGGGTTAAGGGTTTAGGGGTTGAGAGCTTTAGGTTTCAATGGCCCAAGATTCGAATACTCTCACTGAGTGGTGTTCTAGGACACTCTGTGATTTAAAAGACTCCTTTACAAGCGAGGGGTATTAGATTGTGTAGGGGCCACCATCTGACCAAAAACCCAAAACCCTAATCCCTAAACCCTAAACCCTAAACCCTAAACCCTAAACCCTAAACCTAAACACAAAACCCTAAGAACTCATCCGGTGATGTCGGAGACAAGGCCAGGCCGAGGCCACCCCTTGGCCAGCACGAGCCACCTCCTGGCGCGCAGACAGCAGTTTAGGGTTTCGGGTTTAGGGTTTAGGGTTTAGGGTTTAGGGTTTGGGGTTTAGGGTTTAGGGTTTAGGGTTTAGGGTTTAGGGCCTGTAAACCCTAAACCCTATCCCTGAGGCTCAAAATAGCCTTAGAACTTGATACAAGAAGGCCTTTGGGCCCAAGTGCCAGGGAATGGGCTTAGGGTTACCGAACATGTCAACTCACAATTCAACATGTGTCTGGCCGACAAGGCCACGTGCAGGGCCCAGTAGAAGGGTCGGAGAAATTACTGCGTACTAGTATACTAGTATTCCCATTTTTCAATGTACTCTAGTAACCCCCCAGAACCCTATTCTAATTACCTTAAACCCTAAATCCTAAGCCCTCTAAGCCCAAAATCCTTGTCATAGGGTTTGGGGTTTACAGGGTTTAGGGTTTAGGATCTAGGCAAGTTTCGGGGGTAGCCACAAGTAGGGTTCTACAAGCCCCACAATTCGCTTACAACCAGTTCTAACTCCAGCATAACCAACTCAATGCCACCGGTTTAGGGTTTAAGGTTTAGGGTTTAGGGTCCCATGAACCTACCAGGTATGCATGTCACGAACCCTCCCTTGCCCGCACTTGGTGCAGCCTTTCTAGCACGCTGGTCGTGCAGGCACCAAGCACAAGGAGACCAGCTACGAGGACAGAAGGGTTCTTCCAGGGGTACTATAGTCCCTACGAGGGACAGTTAGTATAAGGGGAACATCCCAAGGTATGGGTTTGGGGTATGTTGAGTTATTCTTGGATTTACTGGCTGGTTCGTAGTAGTGAATGGGGACACGAGGTACCCTTAAAAATCCCTTACAGGCAAAATACTACTATGAACCAGGGGAAACCCCGACTTGGTTCAGGGTACTTAGTAACCCAGTTGTAACTGTACTTATAACCCCCAGGATAACCATATTGGGGTCCTTAAGGGGCCTATAAGTGGGTTATAACTACACTTATAAGTACCCTGAAACCTCCAAGCAAGACCCTTAACCCGAAAAACCCCTAAACTTTAAACGCCCGAGCCCCTGAACTTTGGAACCCCGAACCCCCAACCCCCAAACCCTAACCCCTAGAAACCTGAAGCCCAAAGGCCAAGACCAGTTTTGGAATAAGAGGGCGGCGACATGGAGAGGAGCACCTTAAAACCCGAACCCTACTTTCATGGTAATCTAGGAGCCTTTATAATTCGAACGGGGGGGGGGGGTCATGATCGTGTAATCATATGCGCTTTAGTAATTATTCCGACCCCTATACTACCTGTGAGCTTTCAACAGATCAAGATCTCGCATAGCACGCGGACAGGGGAGAGCCACCCTGAGCCCTAGTTACAACCTAAGCCTGATAAAACCCTAGAGGTTTAGGGTTTAACCTTAAACCCCAAACCCCGAACCCCAAACCCCAAACCCCAGACCCCAAACCCTGAACCCTAAACCCTGAACCCTGAACCTTGAACTCATGAACCTCCACGTTAAGCCCCGTAAGCCCTCGAGTTACGGTGGAGGGCGTCTGAGCACCGGCTTGTCGAGTTTCGTGCCTTCTACGACTTCGACTAGTTCCCAGGGCTCCCGTGTTCCCTTACCTTGGGGACTGCATGAACCCTAAGCTTAAATTGCACCAGGGATCCTAGTCATGATCTGCGCGGAAGTTTTATCCGAATTCAGGGATGCGAGTTGGAGTCTCTTGGTTCAGTTCGCAGAACTTGATACTCGCCTTCTCGGAACGGTATAAGTCCAGGAAGTTTCCCCACCGACTGGCCTTCCGATATTCAGGAGCTGGCGAAGGAGTACCGTCTCGTGCACAAGGCACCCGACCTCAAACCAGCCATCCCTGGTCCCTGAAACCCTACATCATGTATAGGGATCCGGATTATGAAGTGAGGTGGTATATTCCTCATGGGTATTGGGCCCATAGTCGAGTAACAGCGTAAACAGGTAATGTACTCCCCATAGTACGGTAAAAAACATCCAGGCCGCAGTCCTTGCTTCGGAAGGGCACCGTGCCACATTGTAGAGGCCCGTTGTCTTTCAACAGCAAGATCTACCCTAAACCCTAAACCCTAAACCCTAAACCCTAAACCCTAAACCCTAAACCCTAAACCCTAAACCCTAAAGAAAGCACGCAAGCACCGCCAGTGGCCAAAAATCACAAGTTTCAGCCTCAAGAACCCCGAGCAGACTGTTGGAAGTAAGGCGTGCGAAATTATCTTGACGTATCCTTGTGACCTCAGGGTATCGGACAAAGGAAACCAACCCTCAACCCTAAGCCGGGAGCCCGATCGAGGCCTGACATGTCTTGGTCATGGGGTCTTAAGGCTCAGAGTGGCTAAGAAGGACCTCTTCAACGGGGGTTTAGGCACCCTAAACCCTAAACCCTAAACCCCAAAACCCTAAAACCCTTCAGGCTTTGGGTAAGGGTCACCCTATAAGGCTCTGAGGACACTTATTCTAGGCTTTTGGGTGCAAGGGGGGCCTTCCATCCCGGCGTCCTGTTAATTTTAGGGTTTAGGGTTTAGGGTTTAGGGTTTAGGGTTTAGGGTTTAGGGTTTAGGGTTTAGGGTTTAGGGCAGGTTTTCTCCGCGCAGTTTGTATATGATAGATGGTTGTGTCTAGGGAACATTCGGGATAATGCAGGTAGATCTTGTGGCGCCATTTTAGGCATGTTTGTCCCACCCTTCACTTTCGGAAACCCTAAACCCTAAACCCAAAACCCTAAACCCTAAACCCTAAACCCTAAAGCCTGGCCAGGCGTTGGAGGTGGCAAAGCGTGGCAGGCAGAAGCACTGGGACCTGGACGAGGATGGGTTGTTAAACTTGGTTTAGGGTGGAAGGGCTTTGGGTTTAGATAAGATCTTTGAGAGGGCCGCTAGGCCGGGGTTGCAACCGGCAAGGGCAGTTTGGACCAACCCCCAACCTTTAAGCCCTAAACCCTAAACCCTAAACCCTAAACTCTAAACCCTAAACCCTAAACCCCAGCCACATCCAGGACGCAGCTGGAAGGGCTGTGCAACTTGGCTTCAGCTGGCTTTCGGGGGCCACCAAGGGCTTACGTACCCTAAGGCTCGAAGGACTCTTATTTTAGGGATTCTGGGGCCTAAAGGCCTTCTTATATATATATATATAGTACACACACAAATATTTGCATACATATATACATAAACATATATATATATAATATGTAAATAAGGGCCTTGGACTATTTGGAGCCTCAGGGCAAGGGTTAGGGTTCGGGTTCAGTCGCAGCGTGCCGAGGACGGGAGACGCCATGGCGAAAACAAACTCGGTCACAATGACCGAGCCGGTCACAAAAACCGATTCGCTAGAGAAGAAGATGGACAAAGCAGCGGAGGCGCATCATTAAGGGCTTGCACAACAAAACCTTAACACTCTTAAACCCATGAAGCCTCTGCTGTCTGAAACGACCCTCAATCCAAAACTCTGAGCGATTCTTTCTCTCTCTCTCTCTCTCTCTCTTTCTCTCCCCCCTCTCTCCTTCTCTCTCTCTCTCTGCCTGCCTCTGCCTCTCTTCGTCTCTCCCTCGCCCTGGCTCTTTCTCCTCGGTCTCTGTCTTTGTGTCCCTGTCCATAGGTCTGTCTACCGTGCCTCACAATGAAATGTGACTTTACAGCAGCCTGAAGTTGTTTACCGAACCTCCTGCAACGCCATGAACTTGAGTGCATACATGAAACCCTGAACCCAAGAACCCTAAAGCCCAAAACCCCCAACGAGCCCCCCCTCAACTCCCAACAGGCGGCTGAGGGCCTTGAGGACGCAAGTGCCACGAATGCCGGCGAAGTGCCCGCGGGCGCGGAGGTCAGCGCAGGCGTAGAATAGGACATTTGGCTCTCAGAGAGGCGGCATCACCAGGGAAGCCCGCAGCCTTGAATGCCCCGAACCTCCTAAAACCCCAAGCCCTACAAACACCTAAGCACCTTAAATCCCGATGTCCGAGTCGGTAGGCTTCAAACCCTACAGATCCCAAACCCAGAAACCCTTGAACCCTAAAGACCCTAAAACCCCAACCCCTAATCCCAAACCCTATACCCTATACCCCCTGAACCCTATACCCTATACCCTAAACCCTAAACCCTAAACCCTAAACCCTAAACCCTAAACCCTAAACCCTGAACCCTGAACCCTGAACCCTGAACCCTGAACCCTGAACCCTAAACCCTAAACCCTAAACCCTAAACCCTACCTACAACCGGCGCCCGCTTCGGGTCCCGAGGAGAGCTGCTTGCATGTGATTTATCACCCGGAGCCTTCCCTTTGCCCCACAGTTCAGACGAGTGCGTTTAGGGCTTAGGGTTTAGGGTTAGGGTTTAGGGTTTAGGGTTTAGGGTTTAGGGTTTAGGGTTCAGGGTTTAGGTTTTAGGGTTTAGGGAATGTTACAACTCTAATCCCTGAACTACAGCAGGGATCCTGATATGATGGAAGGGAGATTCCTGAACTTGAGGTCTTTGGGAGTTTCCGGGGGCAGAGAAGCCTGAGGCATCGCTCCACCACAAAAATTGGGTTTAGTGTGAGGGCTTAGGGTTAGTCCCCAAACCCCTGTTTTATAAGTACTGAAGCGTTTAGAGGTTCGTTGCTTTGGGGTGTCGGCTTGTGGCTAAGGGCTTAAGGCATCGCGGCGAAACGAGTGTATGCCGCCGTAGTGAGTTTCAAAACAAGTCGAAGCCCTACACGTAGGGATGTTCCCTTTTTGTACTAACAGTCTTTAATAGGGATCATGATAGGGGGTGCTAAAATCCCTATCCAGGACTGTTAGTATAAGGGGGAACATCCCAACCTTTACCCCCTATCTCACACAAAATAATACCCAAAAAACCCTGAACAAGCATTGCTCCCAGGGTCTGCCAGGCTCCTCTGCGTCCAGCGTCTCACTCTACTGGCCCTTTTGAGCTCTCTGGATAGGATTTAGGGTAAAAGGGCAGAGCCCTAAACCCTAAACCCTAAACCCCTAAACAAGACTGTTGTCGCGCTTCAGCGATGTGGTCTGATGATAGTGTTTGTTGTTGTAGTGAGGAGAATGATGGGTGTCACCGCTTCCGGTAGTATTTGAGTTTTGCATCCCACGCAACTCCTAAACCCTAAACCCCAATCCCCCAAACCCTAAACCCCAAACCCCAAACCCCAAACCCCAAACCCTAAACCCTAAACCCTAAACCCTAAACCCCAAACCCTAAACCCTAAACCCCAAACCCAGGCTTCGGATCCATGCCAGGTTCGATTCGATTGCTATGGGTTTGGGTGATTGGGCTGAGGGCCCTTAAGCATCTCCTTCGTATCCATATGTATATACCCATACACATGTGCACACACACATATGTATATGTATACATATATGCATCTACATTTATATGCATGTGAGTGAGTGTGTCTGATACGTGTGCATATATATATATTTATGTAATATATGTTTACCATTTAATTATAGTTCTTAACCGGCAGCGGGCATTGACCAGAATTCGCGGGCAGCGGTCAAAATGCCCGCGAACTTTGACCACAGCCTGCGAATCTTCACCAATGCCCACGAAATTTGATTCATGCCCGCACGATTTGCCCTAAACCCCGAACCCTAAACTAAACCCCAAACCCCAAACCCCAAACCCCAAACCCTAAACCCTAAACCCTAAACCCTAAACCCTAAACCCTAAACGGGTTTAGGGGCTTCTGGATTCTGTCTTTTCTATAGAGCCTTAGGAGTTAGGCTCCGAGGGCTCCAAGGTCTTCCTGTTAGGATGTCGAGTTTAGGGCTCCGAGATTAAGTAGGGTTTAGGGTTTAGGGTGTGAATGCTTGAGGCACTTACCTCAATCCCCGAAGGCCTGCATGGCCCAAGACGCGTCAGGCACCCAGGGTTGGTTTGGTGGTTTCGGTCTTTTAAACAGAATTCCTCCATATCTTCCCGACCTTTTGACTATGATCAGGAGTAGAGCTGTTCAGCATAGGCTACTCAAAGCCTCATGGGCTATGATCAGGTGTAGTTCAGTTCTTACCAGGTTTTCCTTTGTTCCTTCGTGCGGTGCCTAAAAGGGTGCGTCTGCGGTGTTGTTCCCTTAGACCTTAACTAAGGGCCGTGATTGATCATCCAAAGGTCATGAGCCCAGATCTCGTTTAAGCCATTGCGCCGCCATGGATATTCCTGGGCAATCTGAGACTTCTGGGTCAGAAAGAGGAGGTCAAGGATCTGCACTGGGACGTGAGTCTTTGGCAAACCCAAATTTGCAAGACCTGCCTAGAGGGCTGCAGCAGGGGTGCATGAGGGCAGGAGAGAGGATGGGCCTGGTGAGCAGGAAGAAGCGATGGGAAACGTCTGGTGGTCGGACCGGGCGAACGACGAGTATCGACTTCAGCACATGAGGCCCGCGTATCTTCCTTCTTTGGACAACTGGTCGGCAGATCTTGAGAGCGCTGGAAAAGGCGTTGGCAAGACATCAGCGACGAGTGCGCATGAGCCAAGAGTTGGAGGAGAGCCGGAATATTTTCACATAGCCTCGCCGGGGCCTAGCAGTGCAAGAGAGTCTGCGTCTGGCACAAGCAATGGGCTGGGTATGGGACAGCCAGTACATATGCCGGTCACTCAGCCTGGGCATCTTTTGCAAAGCTCTGGTGGTGTTATGGTGGAAAGCGCTAGGAACTCGAGTCGAGATCATGATGTTGGACAGCAGGATTTGAGGCATTCTGCCATGGCTGCTTCCGAGAACGCGTTTTTGCAAATGTCGAGCCAGGATCTGCGTCAGATGGTGGAGCAGAATCGCCAAGCAGATCCCCTTTTGATGGCGTTGATGAGGCGCCTTGAGGAAGCAGAGACGCGTACGAGGTCAACCAGTAGCATGTTTTCCATTTACGACAACCCCGCCGAAACGGGCGGTCGAAGTAGAAGTGCTGTGCAGGTAGAAAGTAGCAGGAGGAATTCTGAGGGAGGTCTAGGCATAGGCTATGGAGATGTAGGGGTTCGTGGTCATAGAGATACTGTGGTTGGTAGTCGTACGGATATGGTGGTTGGTGGTCATAGGGATATAGGGGTTGGTGAGGTCGTGCCGGTGCTACAGGGCCAGCAAGTTGGCCACGTGGAGATGCACTCTCCTCTACAACAATCCTTGTGGCCGTCGGCCAGTGTTGCAAGCAATCCTTTAATGACACCTTGCCAGTATCCTCAGTCTACCAGCCTTCCTCTGCCGCTTCCACCTTTTTCCCAGCTTTACTCTTCCTCCTTACAGAGTCGGGTCGCCGAGACCGACCAGCGCCTGCGAACGCCTGGGTTTGGAGTTGAAGGAGGGTGTTCAGGGAGTACAGGGTTTGAGCCACTTAGGGGGTTTCAGGGTCAAGGACTTGAAGGCAGGGGTCCTGGAGTTGGCTCTACTTGGTTTGAGATGACCCCCCCGCATAGCCAGCCCTGGCCCCAAAGTACTGCTACCTCTTCAGGGTTTGTTGGTGGGGATGTTAGGGGCAAGGGACTGGGTAATTTCAGCCGAGAACCCCAACGTCCTGTAGTTGAACCTGGATGGCCCTGGGATAGCGCTGCTCAAGTTCCTCCCCTTCCCAAAAGACAAGAACGGACCCGAAGCCCTGAGCCTCTAAGCCTACTTGACCTTGATCCAGTGCCAGTAATAGACCAATCGCAGAGATCAACTTCATCAGGGTTAATGACGGCCACTTCTGAAATGCCGCTGATTGACATCCTGTCCCCGAAGCGGACTCCCTTTCGTGCCGTTAGCCCAGGTCCCGAAACCCCTAGAACCCCTAGAGTAGGAACTTAGGGAAGCAACAGTTACACGCCAGGTGGAACTCAAGTGCCATCAGGTCCACCGCCTGCAACTCCACCGCCCGCTAGGGGGGTAACCTTTGGCCCTGTTGTTACCGCGCCATTGCCTCCATCGCCTATCCCGGGGCCTCCAGCATCTCCGTGTGACTTTTATGGGCAAAAGGGGGGGAGACCTGAGGAGCCAAGCAAGTTGGTGCACTCTCTCCCAGTCCTGAGCGTGACAGAGGGAAATGCCGACGCGTCCGTGGTTACTGGGGATTGGTTGGCGAGGATAGGACCCATAATGCGGAGTATGTCTCCAGGGGCACCTCTTTGGTGGCAAAAGACTCTAGAGGTTGCGAATGGGTTTTACCAGCAGTGGCTTCATGCAGACCCACTTCAAAGGTTAGGGGTGAAAACGGAGGCCATAGGATACACCTGGGACCAAGGAACGCATGCATTGGTTGAGGAACGTGCAGCAGTTTTGCTGTTACAGGCTCTCCCACCCGAAATGCAGTCAGAAGCTGTCAGTATTCGAGCCTTAAGCTCATCAGCTCTACTTTTCCTCCTCATGTCCAGATTTCAGCCGGGAGGGGGTTCCGAGAAATCAATGATTCTTTCCTTTTTAACGCAACCCACCGTAGAGGGCTCACCGGGGATAGTGGCAAATCATACAGCGTTGCGCAAATGGGAGCGACTATACCGACGTTGCAAAGAGCTCGGATTGCAAGCTCCGGACCCCACGCTCTTAGTCAGGGCCTTGGACTCCTTAGCACGCGTGATTAACAACAAATCCCCTCAAGCAGTTTTCCGTCTTAGTACATTTCGGCACACCAGTCACCTAGACGTGGTTCCAAATGAAGGGACGGTCTTGCAATATGCCCAGCTGCTGGTTGCCGAACTGGAAACCCTGATGTTATCCTTGAGCGAGGGTAAGCACCAAAGGGTAGCTGCACTTAATGGCGCACAAAAGGGTGGTGAACCGCAAGAAGGGGGTGGTAAAGGGAAACCCAACCTTAAAGGCAAGCCCAATGGTAAGGCAGCTGTTGGTGATAAGGAGCCCTGTAAATTCTTTAGCCAGCCGAACGGTTGCCGATATGGTCCGCATTGTGTCAACTACCACCCCAGACTAGAGCCTTCAGATGGTCGTTGTTTTGCTTGTGGGTCTTCGAAGCACAGTCAAGCCGATTGTCCGAGAAAGGAGGCACCCGAGCTGAATCCACGCCAGAAGGGTAAAGGGGGTGGTAAGGGTCAGTCCGCAGGTGAGGAGACTTCGACAACTGGACAGTCTAGCAAGAAAGCGTCTTCTGTCGCACCTGTGCCCAACCCGAAGCCAAAGGCAGCAGCAGTCACTGTTGAAGGACCTTCTGCGCCACGGGTGTCTGCTCTTGGAACTGCAGCGCTCATGGGTCTACTAGACGGAGGGGCCACACATGCTCTTCGCAGCGCCACAGAAAAGGAATGGTCTGAGGCCCGACCCATAAGTGTACACCTTGCCACGGGTCAGGCGCAATTAAAGGTCAATAAGCTTGGTACTTTGCTGACCCTAGATCCCAACCAACAACCTATACTCCCTCTTGGACTGGCCGTAGAACAACTAGGGTTGCGGGTTAACTGGGTGGGTGACCTGTGTCGGATAGTGCACCCACGTCGTGGCCGGTTGAAAGTCCATCTCCGTGATGGGTGTCCGGAGATTGCCTATGATCTCTGTCTTGAACTGATTCGTGAACTGGAGTTGAGCAAGTCCAGTGCGTACGTGCAAGCCCTTCAAGGGGTTCGCTTGGCCTCGCAGACGCAGTTAAGGGAGGTGTTGACGTCGCAACATGATGAGTCCTGGCCTAAGCAGGTTGAAGGTTTGAAACGGTGGTTTCAGGCCACGTACCCTGACGTGCCACAAAGGATTGCTGAGATGATCTTCACGTTGCCTGAGTACGCAGCTGAATGTCCCTTCAATCGCCATATTCGCAAGCGCTTAAAGCGGGGGGGGGTCCTTCTGCATTTCTGTTCAGGCTCTCAGACTTGGAGCCATCAGTCATTCGCATATACCCTGAATCTGGACCTTGAGAAGGGGTGTGACTTGAACCATAGCGGCGTGTTCTTGTGTCTTCTGGAAGCTGCGATTCATGATGGCTTTGATGCGCTACTTGGGGGGCCACCGTGTCGAACGCTGTCGCGGCTGAGGTCCCTTGTTGGAGATAACGGCCCAAATGTGTGTCGTAGCAGAACGGGCTGTGAGCGTTTCGGACTTGAAGACTTGACTGCTGAGCAAGCCTTTCAGGTTGATCTTGATACGGCGTTGATCTTTCAATTCATGGTGCTAGCAGAGGTCATGCAAGCAGTGAAACAGATTAGAGGACGTAAGCCAGGGTATGTCCTGGCTGAGCATCCCGCGGACCCTGCTACGTATGTGAGTGCTCGCAACTCCACGTTGGTTGAAAGTGATGTGCGTGATGAGTATCCGTCGATTTGGGTTTGGCCGGAAGTTGAAGCTTGGGTTGCCCGGTTGTCGCTGCACATGGTGAGATGCGATCAAGGAGCTCTGGGCGGTTCGGCTGTCAAGCCTACGGTGCTAGTAACTACGTCCAGTTGGCTTTGGGAACAGCTCCATGGCGTGGTTGTGCCGCTTGATCAGTTGTGGACAGTGTTTCGGGGAGATGACCTTCGAAGCCGGATTGCCACCAGTAAGAGCCATGCAAAGTGGGCTCCTGGAATGGTCCAAGTCATTAAGGAATCCCTGACATGTTGGTCTAAGTCCGAGGACCCATATGAAGATGATGCTAACCGGTTGAAAGCTCTTCGTACCTTGGTTGGAGAAAATCTTGCGCCTGAAGAGGTGGGGTTGGCAAGCGCTACTGACAGCAGTTCTGAAGGCGACGTTCCTCGAGTTGCCAGAGCTTCAGTAGGTGACAAGAAGGAGTGGATAAGCCACTGCCTAAGAGGGCATATCCCATGGCGTCGAGATTGTTTGGCATGTGTGCAAAGTGCGGCGTTCCAAAGGCCTCATAGACGTCAGAGACATCCCAAAATACTGAACTTGTGCGCGGATCTTGCGGGCCCCTATGTGCGGGGCGAAGACAGTACGATAAAGCATCCCAAGCACCTCATGATAGCTGTTTATGCCTTTCCTTTGTTTGAGGTGAGCAGTGAGGAAGAGCCTGAAGAAGAACGAGGATACGATATCCCTGAAACTTGGGTTGATGAAGAAGTTCAAGATGAAGGTAGTGGGGTCGGAGGGGGCGTTGATCCTGAAGAAGGGGATTCTGAACCCGTAGAGGCCTCTTGTAAAGAAAAGGAACTGCTGAAAAAGGACCAGGACAAATGGGATGAAATTATCAAAGCTTGCAAACAAAAGTACCGCACTGTCACTTTGACCTTCGTTGAAATCCTTCCAGACAAGCAGGCTAGCACCGTGGTGAGCGCTTTGTCCCGAGTGTACTGCAGGTTGAAGTCGCAGGGTTTTCCCATCCTTGGCTTGCACACGGACAGGGGGGGTGAATTCGTTAATAAATCCGTTAGGGTGTGGGCCGAGTCAAGGAATCTGCTGCGTTCCACAACCCAACCTGAAGCCCCTTCCAGCAACGGCCGGTGTGAACGTGCGCTGGGTTTGGTCAAACGAGGTATTCGTGCTTTGCTTCACGCACATGGCCTTGCTCCAACCTTCTGGCCTCATTGTGCGCGATACGTTGGTGAGTCCATGCTGAGGGCTGCCTTGAAACGGATTGGCCAGCCGGTCAGTCCAATGAAACCGTTCTACGCTAAGGCCATGATTCGGGCAAGGACATGGGCAGACACTAAGTGGTCGTCGAGGGCTTTAGAGGGTAGGATTGTATCCCCGTCCCCTGAGGTCAGTAGAGGCTGGATTTTGAGAGCTGAAAACAAAGGTCAGATCTTCTTCTACGCGTCCACCCTTATCTACACCAGTCTTCGTGACCCTGAAGAGCCGCCGCAACTTGAAGGTAAGCCCGATCCCAAGGAGTTTGCTGAGGTAATCCAACCGATGAACAAAGTTCCGTCCCTGCCCGAAGACGGTTTAACAGTCGATGCCTCGACGTTGCCTGAAGCGCTGGGGGGTACATCGAAGGATGACGTTTCAGGGTTTCCGAGTCCAAAATGGGCGCCTCCTGTGAGACGTGTGCCTTCCAAGAGTCGGGGAACTCTGGAAACGGGGGAGCAGGTTGAATCCCCTGTGCTTGATCCGGGGGGGCCGCGTGAGCCTTCCGGATATGCGCCTGAAGGGGGTGGGCAGTTTCCTTCAGCCGTTGAGGCTGCTGTGCCTTTGCCGGAGGACCCTGTCGGACCTCGCAGGACACGTATTAGCGGTAAGACTACAGTTGCAGCTTTGAAGCAGGACGTTGTTCGAGATGACTTGGTGTCGGCCCTTTGCTTGCCTACTGTAAACCCCAGGGTGTGTGCACTTCGTGTTCCCAGGTCGTTGCCTGGGGGGGGGGTTCAAGCGTGTTTGCCTCCTCAACCGAACATTCGCGTGCAGACAATGCCTTGGATTGTTCGTGCCAGGATAGGGATTGCCAAGTCTGCAAATTGAAATTCGTGTCCGTGGGCTCTCTGCCATCTGCGTCCGACGATGATCTTGTGATTGCGCAAGCAAGTGTTTGCGGGAGACAGTTACTTGAGGACCATGGTGAAGCGGATCCGGCCTTGAGACCGAGTGCCGTATGTCAGGCGGTTGGCAACCTTGACTCGGACCTTCCTAGATGTTGTTCCCTGGAGATTCCACCTGAAGGTGATGTTGTGAGTGAGCGGCGGTGGTATCACAGCTTGCCCGAAGACCCTGCCGAGTGTTGCGATAGTGAAGGCGAGGATCTTGAACCCGAGAACCGAAATGGCCTTGAAGGGGCTATCTGTAGTCTTGATGGGGAAAGATCCCGTTTGCTAGCGGTCATTAGAGATGAAGAAACAGCACTAAAGCATGAAATTGCTAGGGGTGAAGGTGAGGGTACGGTGGCGGCCTTGAAAGCGTCGTATAACTTGCTGCACGAGGTGGAAGGTCAACTTGTGTTTCTGCAGGACGAGCAAGCCGGGTGTCTTCTGCCGCGTGTTGCTGTTATGAGTGCTTCAGATGACCAACCGGAAGTTACGCCGGAAGTCCTTCATACCCATGCAGTTGCACTTGAGGAGGTGTTGCGCGATTTGGAAAGCTGGAAGCCGTCCATGAAAGATGAACTTGGTTCGTTGCTTGAGGCGCACAATGCTATTTCCCCGATCACCTACGACGAGGTCAAAAAGCTGGAAGAGAGTGGGGTTAATGTGTTGTGGGTACCTAGCAAGATCGTTGCCACAATAAAGGCAGGGACTGGCCGTAAGAAGATCCGTCTTGTTGCTTGTGGGAACTTTTTGAGCCGTGAAAAGACCCGGAAAAGTCCGACGCTGTCCAGAACTGACGTATTCACATCGTCTTTAGACTCGTTGTCGCTTCGTCTACAACTTGCGATGGCTAGCAGCAGGAAGTGGGTTTTGACGTCTGTGGACGTCAAGACCGCGTTCTTGACGGCCCCTATCGGAGGGGGGCGGCAACTGCGTACCATAGTGGTTAAACCGGCCCGTGTCTTGGTGGAGGCGGGATTAGTGGCGCCAGGTCAACTGTTTAAGGTCGAGAAAGCACTTTATGGACTCCACCAGAGTCCGCGTGATTGGTCCATCAGCAGAGATACCAAACTGTGTGCCCTTACATGGTCTGTCAATGGAGAAACTCGCAGGTTGGTCCAGTCAAAGTGCGACTGCTCAATCTGGTTTATCAGGCGTGTGGTGCAAGATGTCGTGGTAACAAATGAACCACCTATCGGAGCTCTGGGAGTTTACGTCGACGACTTGTTGTTGACTTCCGAGGAATCCGAGACAGATGCACTTCTTCGGGCTATCCGTTCCCTGTGGACATGCTCAGAGGAGCAGAGGTCTACTAAGGGGAGGGTTATCTTTTGCGGCCTTGAGATTGACCAGAATCCTGAGACAAAAGAGCTGGAGATCCACCAGTCTTCCTACATCAGAGCGCTTGAAGCAAGGCATGGTCCCCTGAGGTCGGCTGTCCTTCCGATGTTCAAGGATGAGGACGAGGAAGAAGAAACAAGTCTTGATATGATCCGCGAGGCGCAAGGCTTGGCAGGCGAGTTGACTTGGATCTCATGCCGATCGAGACCAGACGTTTCTTTCAGTGTGTCAAAAATTGCCCGTATGTTGTCCAAGAGGCCCAGTGCGGCCATCAAGGCGGCTAAACAGGTGATAGGCTATCTGTTGCACACCCGTGCGTACTGCTTGCGTTATGGAGGGCCGACTGATCCCGAGCTGGAGGGACATCTGCTTCGAAAACGGGGCATGGAGGTAGTAGAGACCTTCACTGATGCTAGCTTTGGGGTTGAGTCCGGAAGAAGCCAGAGCGGGGTAGTAGTCGCGGTAGGCGGTTGTGTTGTGGGGTGGTTAAGCCTTACCCAGCCGTTCACCACCTTAAGCACCTGTGAATCAGAACTGATCGCTGCGTGCGAGGGCCTTACTCTTACTCAGGCTTTGCTTCCACTGTGGGCAGAAATGCTGGGGTCTACACCTGCGTGGTACGCGTACACCGACAGCGTTGCATGCGCAGCAGTTCTGATATACCCGTCCGGAAATTGGCGCACCAAGCACCTCAGGTTGAGGTCAAAGGTGTACCAAGAGCTTGTTGAAGCAGAGGAGCTGGCAATTGCACATGTTCCAGGCCGGTTTCAATTAGCTGATGCGTTAACTAAGCCGCTGACGCGTGTGAGAATGCTTGAACTGCTGAAATTCGCTGGGATGTCGAATCTTGACAACGAGGGTGGTGGCCAGTCGTCCCGAACTGGCGCAGCTACGCCACTCTTAAAAGTCTTGCTTGTTGGTTGCCTTGTTGGACAAGCCCAGGCGCAACCCGAGTACAGATTGGCTGGGGATATGGATTCCTTCTTGTGGTTTATCTTCACCGTGTTGGTTGTGGTAGGGGGGTTAATAGGTCTGTACTTACAGGATCGAAGACATCAAGCCCGATTGCAAGAGCTGAGGGAGATGTCAGCACAAGCGCTAAGGGAACTAGACCAAGCTGTTAGCAAGAGGGAGAGCGCAAGCGGGGGAGCCACGCATGAGGAGGTGTCCTTGTGCCCGTCCAAAGCCCCGTCCATCGCCAAGTCACCTCCTGTGCTTAGTAAGGCAGCGCCGCCCAAGTCTCAGGCGGCCAGTCGCTCCTTGCGTGCTGTTCCTGTGTTTGGCTCTGGTCCTTGCAACGCACCGCCTGCAAACAGACCCGATCCGTTGACCAGTCAGGTTGGCAGGCCGCCTGTCCCTAAGATGGTCCAGCCGGATCACCCGAACCCTAGTGGTACTTTCGGTTTAGGCCCACCTGCTTTGCCTGTCCCTAAGATGGTCCAGCCGGATCACCCGAACCCTAGTGGTACTTTCGGTTTAGGCCCACCTGCTTTGCCTGTCCCTAAGATGGTCCAGCCGGATCACCCGAACCCTAGTGGTACTTTCGGTTTAGGCCCACCTGCTTTGCCTGTCCCTAAGATGGTCCAGCCGGATCACCCGAACCCTAGTGGTACTTTCGGTTTAGGCCCACCTGCTTTACCACCTGTCCCTAAGACGGTCCAGCCGGGCCACACCAACCCATTAAGGCCCTACGGTTTAGGCCCAGAACCTGCCACTGCTTCAGGCGCCGCCGCTTCAAATACCACGCATGATGCGTCGGGCGTGGTAGTGTCCACTCTTGTTGGTCAACATCACGGCTTCTTGAACCCGCAGGCTGTTGTCGGCTTTCTTGAGTCGCAGATCCATCAGGAGATGTCTGCAGTAAACACCCCGCCACTTGAGGACGAAGACTCGTTGGCAAGTTCAGAGGACTCTCTGGATACAGAGGAAAGCGCCCATGTTGGGTGGCATGAACCGGAATTTGACTTTGATCCCCATGATCCATATGCAGACTTACCTTCCTCTGAGAGAGGGCGTTTGGATCCCGACACGTATGACCCCAGTCATGTGAACAGTGAGGATTTCCCAGCAACTCTTCGAGATGTTCTGTCGTTCGAAGGCTTGCGTATTTTGTCTTCACTCGGTATTAGTCCGTCGGCATGGGGGGGGTGGTATGCAACATCCCAGTCTTTCAGGTGGGCAGTGAAATACGCCCATGAAGACCTTGTTGCTCGAATGTCGCGACTGCATATCTTCTGTGGCCCATCATGCAGCAGGTACTCTCGTGCAAATGATGCTGACAATTTACCTGAAGACGGATTATTCTTCAGTGAAGAGGATGACTGGAAGCTCGAGATCCACGATTTCTTTCGTGGAAATGACGAGTACGCATTCCAGAATGTAGAGCGTGCATATCACTTTTGGCAGAAGATTGGGGGTTACACGTGGCAACTTGACCTTGACGTCGTAAGGGATGGCTTGTCAATGTCAGAAGAGCATGGACTGGCTATGTTGGCAGCAGGCCAACCGGGAGCATCTTCACGGGACCTACGCAGTAGACCTAGGTTTCCGACATGCCTAGGTTTTTACGTTGACGACGTGGCGCCCGATCTTACCGCGTCTTCATCACAGGATATGCCCATGTCCGATCATGATCACGCAATGGCCCATGCTGCTTTCTTTCTATACCAGAATAACATCACCGTTGATTGGGAGCAGCTTAGTGAGGCGCAGCAAGATATATACCACAGCCTGGTTGGGGCATGGTTGCAAGGGATTCACGAGGTCGATTGAGGTCGCCTGTGGCAGTAGAGCATCACTTCTGTGACAGCAATCACGCAACGTGTTAAGCTGCAAGCTGCAGAGATGGTGCCTGATGCGCCAGTAAGCACGGCCTGATAAGACACCCGTTTTTTGGTTAAGCTGTGTAGGGTGTGGGTTTGGTAGCCAGGTTTTCCCTTCCTGCTTTTTTGGGACCTGTTACTTGGGTTGGACCTTAGTAACTAAGGGTCAGTAGGTAGCTACCCATCCCTCTGCACCGTGTCAGATCCTCCGGGATGCTTGTACCTGGGTCGCCCCCAGGCTCGTCATGCACGGCAAGTGTCTCCTTTTTCCTTATGGCTTGAGTCGCCCTCAAGCTCATTGTCCATTTTCTTTGCAGAGATTCGGCCGGGGCCGAAGGGGGAGTGTGAATGCTTGAGGCACTTACCTCAATCCCCGAAGGCCTGCATGGCCCAAGACGCGTCAGGCACCCAGGGTTGGTTTGGTGGTTTCGGTCTTTTAAACAGAATTCCTCCATATCTTCCCGACCTTTTGACTATGATCAGGAGTAGAGCTGTTCAGCATAGGCTACTCAAAGCCTCATGGGCTATGATCAGGTGTAGTTCAGTTCTTACCAGGTTTTCCTTTGTTCCTTCGTGCGGTGCCTAAAAGGGTGCGTCTGCGGTGTTGTTCCCTTAGACCTTAACTAAGGGCCGTGATTGATCATCCAAATGCAGCAGTCACTGTTGAAGGACCTTCTGCGCCACGGGTGTCTGCTCTTGGAACTGCAGCGCTCATGGGTCTACTAGACGGAGGGGCCACACATGCTCTTCGCAGCGCCACAGAAAAGGAATGGTCTGAGGCCCGACCCATAAGTGTACACCTTGCCACGGGTCAGGCGCAATTAAAGGTCAATAAGCTTGGTACTTTGCTGCCTTTGGCTTCGGGTTGGGCACAGGTGCGACAGAAGACGCTTTCTTGCTAGACTGTCCAGTTGTCGAAGTCTCCTCACCTGCGGACTGACCCTTACCACCCCCTTTACCCTTCTGGCGTGGATTCAGCTCGGGTGCCTCCTTTCTCGGACAATCGGCTTGACTGTGCTTCAAAAAGTTCCCACAAGGGGCTTCTGGATTCTGTCTTTTCTATAGAGCCTTAGGAGTTAGGCTCCGAGGGCTCCAAGGTCTTCCTGTTAGGATGTCGAGTTTAGGGCTCCGAGATTAAGTAGGGTTTAGGGTTTAGGGTTTAGGGTTTAGGGTTTAGGGTTTAGGGTTTAGGGTTTAGGGTTTAGGGTTTAGGGTTTAGGGTTTAGGGTTTGGGGCCAGGAGGAGAGCTGGCACGAGGAGGGTTGTGTAAAGTAACATCGTTTCCTGACGTTTCGGCAGCTAATGTCTGACTTGAGTAAGCTTAGAAACCCTAACCTTATCAATCCAAAACCCTGAGTAAATCCTAAACCCTAAGCCCTAACCCTAAACCCTCAACCCTTCAGTGCATCATGGCAGCCAAAGGGGCCATTTTCGAAGAGAGGCTGCGTCCAAGATGCAGTGCACGCTCTCTGGTTAGCCGAGATGTTCAGGGTTTAGGGTTTCAATCCTTTCCCATATGTACCCATGAACCATCAAGCAAGCTTGAGTCCTGTGAGCCCTTGCTTAGGATCTGACTCCCACCTATGCAACAGCCCCAAAATATTCTTCAGTTGCCCTTGCGCTGCCAACGGGCTTACGGCTAGGGGCTTGGGACTCACGCTTCAGGGAGGACTGCAACTGCAGGGAAACGAACATGGACCTCGAGATCAACACAGCAAACATCTCATGAAAGGGACGAGTGAACTTGACCTTAATCCCTGATGATTGAAACTGTGAAGCTTGATCGGAATCCAACAGTCCTTTCTGCGTTTTTCTTTTGTCTGCTTCCTCGAGCATGACTAACCTTTTATTTCACCCTGTGCCTTATGTCCTTTCTGCCCTTGCAGGTGTTTTTTCATCCTTCCCATGACACTGATAGCAAACCCTAAGCCCTGAAGCCTTAACCCTCAACCCTAAACCCTAAACCCTAAACCCTAAACCCTAAACCCTAAACTTTGATGTTTCAGCAAGCCTTCTCTCGGCAAACCAGTGTACACTGACGCCAACGGCGACAGTTATGAGCCATTGTGGCGCGAGATGTCCCAAAGGTCCTTTTGCAGACAGCGGACACGAAAGACCAGCAGGGAGGGTCAGGTTTAGGGTTTAGGGTTTAGGGTTTAGGGTTTAGGGTTTAGGGTTTTGGGAACCTTCCCAAGACTCTAAACCCGGGTGGGGGTTGGGACGAGAGGGTTCCGGCGTGAGGACTTACTTAAGGAGGGAAGGTTCAGCCCCCCTGCCCCTTCCTTCCATGATCCCTGAACTGCTTCTCTGAAGCTTGTCAAGGACTTGGCTTACTTTACTCTCGCAAAAGTGCCTTGACAGGAACCCGGACATGCAAAAGCCGCCCAAAAAGGATCAGAACTTAGAGAACTGCCTAATCCTTCGAGAGAACTGCCTAATCCTTCGAGAGGCGTGCCTAAACCCTAAACCCTAAACCCTAAACGCTAAACCCCAAACCCTAAACCCTAAACCCTAAACCCAAAACCCTAAACCCCCTTGCGAAGCACGAGTTCTCTGCAATCGCCCCGAGAAGCCTGAGCTCCAATCAACAAGCCTCTAAAACCCTAAACCTCTAAAACCTGTAAACCCAACACCCTTTACCGCAAAACCCTTAGCCCTAAACCCTACACCCCCCAAACCCTACAGCCCTAAACCCTAAACCCTAAACCCGAAAAAAAAACAAAAAACTAAACCCTAAACCCTAAACACTAAACCCTAGAACCCTATAACCCTATAACCCTACAACCCTATAACCCTATAACGCTATAACCCTATAACCCAAAACCCTACAACCCTAAACCCCTTCACCGACGCCGTCTGGCTCTGCCCTGTCGCAGCACGCTCGAGAACCAAGAGTCGCGCGGCAGCGGGTGGAGGGTCTGAGACGTAGAGGGTTTAGGGTTTAGGGTTTAGGGCTTACGGCTTTGGGTCCCTAAAACAAACCCGAGCTCCTAAAGCCCTAAAGCCCTAAACCTTTAAGCCTAAAGCCCTAAGCCCGACACCCGAAACCCTAAACCCTAAAGCCTAAACCCTAAACCCTAAACCCTAAACCCTAAACCTTAGAGGGTTCAGGGTACTTGGGGTTGTCTGTTCTCGTGCATCTCTCTGAGGGTAGTTTCATGGGCCCTGATTATGGTCCCTTACCTCCTTTACAGGGTTCTGATGTATTGGCCCTTCTTTTGCATAAAGCCCTAAACCCTAAACCCTAAACCCTAAATCCGTATATAAGGGGTCCCCTCTCCAGGGCCCATACGGAGGGACCATGTAACTACCCCAAGATGGTCAAGGGAGTCATACTCGGGGGCCCTCAGGATGTATATTCCGAGTATGGCCCTTATGCTCCTTAGAGCATCGGTAAAAACGGGTCCCCAAGCCAGGGTTTAGGGTTTAGGGCTTAGGGTTTAGGGTTTAGGTTTGGGGTTTGGGGTTTGGGGTTTAGGGCCTGTTTAGTTTGGTTAGTAAGTTGAGTTATGAGGGTTATTGCAAGGGTTATGATAGGGTTTCTGGGGGATGCCAAGTAGACTCACTAGACCAAGGGCGCTGCTAAGTAGTCTAGATGTCTATATGACGAGTCTGCACAGGGATTGCCAGGCATGATTCTGGAAATGCTTTGGGCTTCTTCATTCGGAATTAGGGGTTTCACTGTGTCGTGGGGATCTAGGGTTTGAGACTTGACGTTTTGTGTGTTGCCAGTTCTAGGACTTAGGTTCCTGGGCAGTGAGGGGGTTCTAGGATTCAGAGAGTCGGATTTATCAGGGTTTCAGGTTCTGGGTTTTAGGACTTAGCTTGAGGACTCGTGGTTTGGGCTTAGGGTTTAGGGTTTAGGGTTTAGGGTTTAGGGTGTAGGGTTTAGGGTTTAGGAATTCAGTGGTTTGGGTGGCGGACAGTCCTCGGCTAGCCGCATATGGCTTGGTCCTCAAGCTTCCTCCCCGAACCTCCCTAAGCCCTAAGCCCAGAAGTCTTAAGAATCCCTCCTCCACCCTAAACCCTAAACCCTAAACCCTAAACCCTAAACTGAGCAAGCCCTAAGCCCAAAAAATCTCCAGGTGCCTCCGGCCCAAGCCCAGAGCTGGGGGCCCCCTAGTCATTAAACCCGAACAAGCCTAAATCCAAGACGCATTTTTGGCTCTAGGGTGTTAGGGTTTAGGGTTTTAGGGTTTAGGGTTTAGGGTTTAGGGTTTAGGGTTTAGGGTTTAGGGTTTAGGGTTTAGGGTTTAGGGTTTAGGATAAACTCATATTTTGAGTAGGCTGTACGGACCCCGGGCCTCCAAATACGCGCGATTCACAGGCCGGAGACCAGAGAGCAGAGTTGTTGTGTTTCAAGGCATCAAGGCATCAAGGCATCGGCGGTTTAGGGGTTAGGGTTTAGGGGTTTAGATTTTGTTTATGAGTTGGGTCGCTATAGCTTCAGCTGGTTATCGACTACGGACTGACTTGTATTTGAGGTACGTAGCCTCACTTCTCACTACAGGAACCTTCAGCTTGTCGCACAGCCCTGGCATATCCGCACTCTCCAAGGCACGGGGCCATCCGGCGACGATGATCTACTACAGGCACCACTGGGTCATCGAAGGGGTTTGCGCCCTAAACCCTGAACCCCAAACCCTAAACCCTGATGTTCTTGGTCCGGCGCCTGGTTGGACGGAGAGCTGGGGTAGAGAGCTCCAGTACTGTAAGGCCCTGAAAACTGCGCCGAACCTCTCCCAAGCCCTGAACAATTACCCAACCAGGATGCCCAACGCGAAGCCCCATAAACTCTAAATATTGAAGTCCCAAAGACTTGAATTATAACCTCGAAACCTGACCCCGTACATATATATATATATATATATGTATATACACAGAAACACATATATACATATATACATATATACATATATACATATATACATATATACATAAAAACAAAAA